GCTACCTAATTCCGGGTTCTGGACCAAAAGGTTCCAGATTCCTTTTCTGCTTGGTGAAGAAGACCAGGAGTCAAGGAACACTTGAGATCTTTCGTGGGTTCTTTCTCTACAGAAATGGGCCAGAGCACTTCACCTTTAAAACTCAGTTTAGAGATCTTAAATTGCATTAGAATCCTAAAAATAGTACAGTGAATCTGGGCAGATACTCAACATCTGCAAAGAAAAATTAACTGTCCCTGAATTTGGCCTAATGGTCCAAGAATTCAAGCAATTTACTGAATGTTTTTGAGACTGTATTCCTTAATTCTCTTTTGGTCCCCACAAACTACAAGACATACAAATCTCTCCAACCTCCAGAACCTAAAGAGATCAGAAAATGTACGTAGATAAATGCTCCTTAATAAGCAATTTAAACATTTCTGTTCAGGAAAAAATTAGGCATCAGCTCAATTCACAGAAAGTTGAATTTACTTACATATTGATATAAGCCCTCAAAAGAAGCCCAAGGCTAAACTTTCTGACTCTGTACACACGGTTTAATTCACCTGATTATGCCTCTATTTTTTATCGTATTACCAATCTAAACAGTTGTCAGTGTCTACCTGAAATAAGAATCTCTGCCCTCTGGAAATGGCTCCTGTGTTCCACGTTAAGGAAGGCTGGAGTCAACGCCTCAGATGCAGATGTTTACACTCGGCTAGATGAGTCAGTATTCACACAGCAATAGAGATGAGAGCAAAAACCTCTTCATAATTCAATTAAAATCTTTCAAAATAATAAAATAATCAGTTTCCATTACACCAGAGACCCACTCTCATCTTTTTGCACAGCTTGAGTGGGGCAGCCTCCCACTGTTACTGTAGGATTTCTTTCTAATTCTATCTTTTTCAAACCATAGTTAACTAGGGTGAAGTCTTTCTCCTGTTTTGTTTTTTTTTTTTTTTTTGGGGGGGGGGGGGGTTGGGTTTTTTTTTTTTTTTTTTTTTTTTTTGGGGGGGGGGAGATGGCAGTATTTGTAGTTTATTTGTTTTTTGGGGGTTATTTTGTTGCTTTTGTTTGGTTGGTTGGTTTTGGTTTTATTTTGATTTGGCCATCCCAAATGGAAACTGGAATGTCAAATGCAAGGCAGGAAACACTGGTCCTGAACATTAACTGAATATTTTAATAGTGTACTATTTTAAAAATAGTAAAGTAACTAAAAATTTAAAGTTTTGTTTCTTTACATTAGCAATAGAAAAAAAGTTATAAAGAAAAAAAGTATTCTAAAAATTTATTTTAATTCTTTCTACTTTTTTTTCCTTTAGTTACCATTAATAAAATTTTCTTTATGTGCTTTTGAAATTTTAAACCTACTTTACCTTTCTCCTAATCCTATCTCACAAGAAATAAGTACACAAGTAATTAACCCACACTAAAACTCATCAACACATTACTTAAGAAATCTTGAAATTTAAAAAAATCTTAAATTAACAACACAAAACTACTGCAGTCATGAAGGAGTATGTAGTGTTTGAAAACCATCGTGATTCTATAGATCCTTTCTGCCTTGAGTGTGGCTCAGCATTATTTATAGAAAAGAAATAATGGCAATATTTATTTCTGTTTTCACTTTCACACCATGTGTTTGCTTTGAGGCACTCAGATAAAAATCCAAGGGATTATGATTAAAAAGAATCAGATGTAATGTCTTTGAGTGCAGCTGTCCTGGGATCAGAAAGTCCAGGGGTGTTAAGGCAGTCCTGATTTCCTCCATCCACTACACTCAGTTCAAGTGTAAATTTGCTTTGCAAATTCAAACAAGCTGAGGTCGAGGTTTAAAAGGACTGCAAGTTAAATCAACAGGAAGAGTCCTCTAGAATGCTGTGCACTGTCAGTGTGACTTCTGCTTCAACAAGATTAAATCCATACAATTTGTGTTGAGGCCGTGGTGTTAAACCAGCCCAAAACTGCAGGAAGAGAGGGCAGGGGGAGAAGCATCTCCTTGCCAGCTGACATGGTTTGGGAACAGATGGTGCCTTTCACAGCTCTCCCTCAACTTCTCGCAGAGAAGGAGAAGGTAAGAACCAACCCACAAAGTTTTAATTCAACTCGTGAGATAAACCAGCCTGGCAAACAGAAAAAATGGGAATTTCACATAGCTGCTTTAATCATACTGAAAGAAATGCTTGATCCCTGTAGATGATCTTATGTTCCTCTTGCATCCACAATCTTACATCATTAAACTATTGCTCACCCTTTGCCATTATGACTGAGGAATTAATCTTCCATCTACATGTTGATCTCCTTAAATATATAGGCGTAAATAGACTAGTTAATATATTTGGTTTGTTTTGAGATGATTATACACAACGTGCTTGCAAGTATAATTTTTTTAAGAATACTGCATCAAAAATTAACATCCAGTTTTCTAATAATTTATGAAGATTTAACTCATTTGAATTAGCATGTATTGGAAGAAATTTCTCAGATATTTGCTTTAAAAGTTTTCATATTAAACACTAAATAAAATCAGCTGAAATCTAGGCCTTATAATACTTAATGTAATGTACATGTAAATAATATTAAAAAAACTTTGTAATTGACTGAAAACACATTTAAGCCAAGCCTGTAAATGTAGGAATCTGTGCACTTTGGACATTTTCATATTTTTTCTAAATCACAGCTGCCAGTAAAATAAATTAACAGGGGAATTAGCTCAGTAAATGTAACATTAGTTTATTTATTCTCCCAGTGTTAAGCTATTTAGCCAAACTCACAGCCTGGGGTTACCTGGACAAAAAAATTGTTATTAGAATTGGCACAGACAGATTTCAGGTTAATTAATGCAACAGTTCATGTAATTTAGAATATCTTCCCCTCTACAAACTCCCCACTATACAGAAGTCAGCCAACTGCTAATTTGTTCATCTTACAAGACAAATTTAGAATGCAAATTTCTCTGGATTCAAAATAATCCACTGACATCTCTGTCCCACGATATCCCCTCAGTGCTGATCACTGTTTCTAATTTACCACCTTTATTGAATGACACCAATTCTGATTCCCTTTTCCCACTACTTACACCAGTCTTAAAAAGAGTTTCTCTGCCACCAAAATGCTTTTGTATCATTAAAGTGAGATTAGGGCACTGTACAGTTGCTCTTTGTGTTTTATCAATTCTGTGAAACAACTGAAGTCTCCTGCATTATGCAAGAATAATTATGTGAGAAGGCAATTTGATAAACTCATCAGCAAAGGATGTGCTTAGGATCTAAATTAAATTTTACCTCCAAGCATTTGCCTCTGAAAAGAACAAACTTCAAATCATCTTTAAGAGCAACAATTCCCATGCAGTTTTCCCAGTGAAACATTAGAGACTGACTAACCTGTATTTTCTTTTTCTTCCTGAAAAGATTAAAGTTTGCTGGGGACGCTAAATTTGCCAGGCAAGTTCGTGACTTTGCAAAGGAAGATTTGAAGATTTCAGTGTTTGGTTTACTAAAGGAATAAATAGTAGTAATAAAACACCTTGTGCACATTATTCAAAGCTAGAAAAGCCTGTCAGGGAGACATTTTTATATTGTTTGTCATTATTTTTCTCTTTGACAGGGAGACAAACAACCATTTGTGAAAGTTTTGGTAGGTAGCTTTGTAAACAAGACTCTCACCCTCCCTGAACTCCATTTAGATGTCCTGTGCTTGGATACAAAGAGCATCCCCAAGTCATCAGGGAGGAATATCTGTCCATCACTATGGACCAATCCCCAGCAATGCCACTGGCCAGAAGATGGAATGGTCTGCACCCTCACCCAACTGCTCAAAGCCACCCAGTCACCTGAAAATAGAAGTACTTCATCAATCAGCCTATGAAGCCCCTCTGCTGAAAAGGCTGGGACTGCATTCTCTTTCTGTGATTAATCCAGGACTTGGTGCTGCCTTTTAGTGCCTCTCACTGGGATATGACCAGACCCCACATAAAGCTGGTAAAGAACTTTAAATGAACAAGAGCAGCAAGATTTGCAGTCTCCCTAGGGTCCAAAATCTTCACATGATCCTTCTTCTGCCCTTTAGTATGAGAGCTCTGACATCTTGACAGCTTTAATAGATACCCAGGAGGCAGAACAAGAAAGGAAGATCTTCATAGTCCATCTTGTCTTTTTTAATATGCTGAGGGATATTAAAACAGTGAAGCAGTAATACTTGGGACTGAGGGAAATAGGTAACAAGACAATGCTTTAAAGTAAAATTGTAACATTTAGGTAGTGAGACAAAAAACACACCAAGAAATTCAGTCAGCAGCATCCCTGCCCATCTCAGGTTCTTATCAAAGAAAAAAAAAATAAAATGCTTTGATTTATAATTTCAAAGGCTAAGCCTGAGTTACATCTCTTCTGGGTTTTCTGCTTAATGTTATGTCTTCCACAATTTACATGTGAATTTTATTTCATCTATGAAAAAGGTCTTCTAATTTGCTTATTGTCAATACACAGCTTCATAAATATTCTGGATAAAGTGAATAAAAACAGTAATAGAGAATAAAAAAAAAATAAGATATCCTGTCCCATATAAACAGCCATTATCCACAGTTAATAATGATAAATATATAAATAACACAATCTATCTTTAATCATAAAGAACTTCAGAAAAATTATGGCTCAGGACCATAATTAAATACTGTAATTAAATTAATGGAAGTTCAGCGACTGAGTTCAAAGGGATCAGAGCCTGCCTTTGCACAGGGGCAAGATAAACATTGAAGGATCAATTTAACCATCAGCCAATGGACAACCTGTGCAGAGAAATTGCTTTGCAGGTGAAGTTAACTCTGGGACTTCTGTACAGGGGAGAAATGCTTCTCCACAGGTGACTAAGCCAACACATGCAATTAACTCTGTGAGTCCTACAGTAAATTAAAAAAAAAAAAAAAACCCGATAAATTATCAAAAAAATCCCCCATTCTCATGTGTCATCCCTCCACCCCCAGAGCTATAAAGACATAGATGAGACAGGAGGTTACTCACCGTTGAGGAGTCACCGCTTCCAGTCTCAAGCGTAGCTCCCTCAGCACAGGTGGGTGGGTGGGTGGAAAGTTGACTAGCCCTGCCCCCATCTATGACATCACACTCTACCTCATAAAAGGTAGTGAAAGTGCTCTGAACTCCAGTCTGATTTCCGAGAGATACAGAAAAGAGATAGTGAGAGAGAGAGCAAGAGAAATATTGTGCCGTAGCGTAGAGCGAGGAGAGAGGGGAACGTGTGCTGAAGGAGCTATGCTTGGCCAAGGACACAGGGCTTCCTCCACGATGAGTAACCCCAGTGGCTGGGGGTTCCTCTCACTCCTTCCCACAGCACAGGCTCAGCCCCACTGGGCTTGCTGATTCAAAAGGGGAACATTTTTGGCAGCTTTGGATGACAGCCAGAGAGGATAGAAAGCTCCATCCCAATTAAACGCTGACTGACATCAGATCAGGCATGAATTTGGTCAATAGATTCTCAAGTGACTCTATTTTATGTGTGGTTTTGATAGATTCCCAAGTGACTCTATTTTATGTGTGGTTTCGTACAGCCAAACTGCACAAAAGCATCCACACCACTGCAAGCAGCTAAAATTCCAGTGATTGCAACAAGAATTACACTTGTGTGGGATAAACATCCAATTCACACCTGTGGATTGACCCTCGAGTAGAGTAATCCAGAGGATTGGGCCTCCTGCATCACTGTCAGGAAAAGAATTATGCTTTTCTTGCATTGAAAATGAGAACTGACAAACTGTGCTGAAAGAACAAGTGAGGGAAGTATAAAAATTCTGGGCTTACATTTATTTACAGAGCACACTTTCTAGTTCCAGAAAATAGCAATAAAATTGCAAAGAGGTGATGTTTATAAAAATGTACATTTTCAGACAATGACAACCGTACAGGCTGAGGCACACTTTTTTCAAACAACATCCCAAGGACTGATACTGGAGGACTCAAAATGGGATATTCAGTCTACTTTATTGTAAATAGTATTTTTATCATCCAAATTCTGGAAAAGCAGGTTTGGGAGTAAACATAATTGCTTATATTATCCACTGGGATTTTCTTAATAACCTAGCTGTAGACTAAAATTGAAAATATTTTTTTTTCTGCTACACCTAACTACATTAAATAAAACTGCTTAGAGAATGGGGGACTTATTCAGTGCCAGTAAAGACTGCTAGTGTAAGAGCCTGCCTTTTGGAAGAGGAAAAATAAATACTTCTTAAATGTCTTTTGAGGGTATGTGTTATAAGCACTCAGGCTTTTTGGTGCTACAAGGTTCATGTGAATTATAACCTGATAATGATTAGTATCTCTGTCCTAATAATGATTAATGTGCATTCCCTGCTCTGTCAGTGTGTTCTTTGTTTTTCTCTTTTCCTTCTACTGAAAAAAGGAAGTGTGTGACTTATATCTAGTAGCAGTCACTCCACCTAACAACAGAGTCAAGCATTTTCCTTCTTACCCTTCAAAACTTTTATCATCATGGTTTTCCTGCAGTATCTGCAGATGTTGCTTTAAAGCAGTGCATTTATGCGATTAAAAACTCAACAAAAATGGGTGCCCAGTGGGCGAAATGAAGAGTTATTGTGGCTGTTAGAGATGAGATGTAACTGCAGGAACACAATGCAAAACTAGGCTGCAGCTGAGGAATGCTAAGTGATGACAGTGCTGTTCATAACTTAACTGTTTTCTCTGTACAACATCTTTTGATTACGAACTATTTGCATGTTTGAAGAAAAATAGGAGGAAAACCTCCTCTGGTCTCCTGTATTGCATTGAATCCTTATTAATATTTATGTCTAATGGCCTGATAAAGAGAAAAATCCAATTTTTAAAGGCTTTTATGGTAAAAAAATACCAAGTGGTATTCAATGAATTCATAACTTAGGTAACCTATGGCTTGACTACTGCACCACAGTTGTTTTTGCCAAATAAAGTAGGAACATATTTCAAACTCCTATGACCACCAGTCCTGATGGAGTCTACGTGAGGTTGCTCCTTCTGATAAAGAGAAGGATATTCAGAGCATACAACCTTAAATATCAGCAAAATTACACATGTAAAAGCAGTTCTAAGATCTTGTAAAGAGAGAGTTTAGAGAGATAAAGAGTTAAATTGTCTTTTATTGGGAAGAAACATGGAAAAAGCAGAGTTAAATCCTGGAAGACTGAGTATGGCCAAGGACACTCTTCAGTAAAAAGAGAAGAAATATGGATAAATATGGAAAATTCCACCATGATAATATCATATAAGCAGTTCAATAGATTGGTGGCAGATTTTACCCCAGATGGTATTTTGGGGCAAATACTGCTTAAATCTGAAATCTTGTTTTGACCTGCTTATTATGATATCTGTAGTTGATAAAGAGAATATAAAGTGAAGAGCAAAGTTAAGAGCTGTGCACATAGACCTGAACACATTACTGATTAAAAGCAGAGAAAGAATACAGCTCATGAAATTATTTTTAAAAAGTATATACATTCAACAAAGTGCCTAAATCTTCCAAATGTTTCAAGAAACATAATTAAGATTAATTAAATTAATGCATGGAAATGCAAAGAAACAGTAAATAAAGACATGAATGTAAAATATTTTCTTAAGGGATGTAAATTAAGCCTAACAGCATAAGAATACTATATAAATGCCGGTCAAGTAATTGATTTAATCACTTGCACCCAGGCACCAGAAATCAAGTTAAAGTAGGGGTCCATGTAGTCTGGCCTCAAAGATCTGATGGAAAAAAATCCCAATGTGCTTTCTTTCTTGCTTAAAGGGATGAACAGGTGGTGGGAAAGGCAGGCACCACACAGGTACCTCTGCGTGGTGTCTGGGAAGTTTGAGCACAGAGAACCAACCCTGCAGAAGCATCACCCAGACTGGTACAGACAGAGGAGGTAAAAAAGGATGGATTGTAAGGAATTGAAACGAAAACTGGAAGAGGCCATGTAAAAATGCCAAACTGACACATATCATAAAAGCCTGAGGGCTTTGCACAGACACACACACCTCTGACCCAAAGAGGGCCAGCTGCTCTAGGGCATCAGCATGATGGATAAGTGAGAAAATCCTTTTTGTACATTATCTGTCACAGTTAAGGAATGATGAAATATGGAGCATCCTACCTGACACTGAGTAAAGCTGTAACTTCTCTAACTTTTTGATAATGGAAATGTTGAACCCAGCTGCAGGTATAAAAAGGGGATGAAAATGTTTCTGCAGTCTTTTGATTCAGATATTGATGCTCTAATCCAGTTTTACAGAATTCTAATTTGGTCTTTGATGAGATTTAGCACACATTTCTTGTGTATTTCATCTCAGGTTCTACACATACTATTACCTACATGGTAACAAGTTCACAAGGTTTTGATGATGTATTAGTCAGAATCAGAAAGAACTGATGTTAAAAGAAAGCTTTTGAGAATATCTAACATAAGAGGTTAGAAATGATTTTTCTGATACTGGATAGTTTTTTACTTTGACTTCATATCACTACCTTAATGACATTACATGAAACAAACCCTTTTTGTTAAAGCAGCTGCTTATCAGTCATGTAAGATTAGATGTGATAGCAGAACTATTCTTCCTTTCCTTCTGTGAGGTACATAGATAATAATATGTCCCAAGTGTGGAAGAAAATATTTCAGAGATTAAAGATAGAAGGCTACTTTTAACCTTCCTCACTCAGCTAGCTCTCTTCCTAAAGGCCATTATGACCACCCTCATTTAATGGAAACACAGACCTCTTTTGTGGATTTTATGGAACACTTTGTTGTAAGCTGTTCTGTTCAGTATTTGCAGTTGATTTTGCTCAGGTTGGAAAAACCTGATGTTTTTCCCTTGAGGGCACATCTTCTTGTCTGTGAATAGCTCTGTGTGTGTGTGTTACTCTTCTGCAACTCTGGTTGTCAAGAAATACAATTACAGTCAAAGTAACTGATGAGTCTGAACTTCAGCTGTTATTCTTTAAATATCTCCAATAGCACCATCTGATAGTACTTTTAGAAGTGGGATTTAGTGTCACCACTTACCAACTCAAGGAGTTAAATAATTTCACGAGCTACAAGATGTACTTCTCTATAAGAAACACAGTCAAAAATCTTCTATTGTGGGTTAAGTCTGTCATTATGGAAATTCAGTTCACTGTAATTCCATGTGCAAGAAACAAACCTCATTTTCATTTATGGCCTTGGGATGAGCCTATTAGCAAATCTATGCTGTGCATTAGAGAGGCCGAGAATACCCCAGAGGAAAGGAATTCTTATTTAATACAAAATGGTGACACTTGGTCCCAAACCATCTCTTTTAAAGGCAATAAGATGGGAAAACAAGTGAACCTAAGATAGCACCAAAGTCTTCTCTTTCTTTATAGTAATTCTAACAGGAATAGTCCTTTGGGACCAAAACTTAGGGTGTGTTAGAATGGTCTTTGAGCCCTGCTAATTATTGTAGGGCTGCTGTAATTTGTGTATCACAAAGCCATTAAATTTCCATTTTCTTCCCAGCTCATTCAGCATGGCCTGGAATAGGAAAACAGGCTGAAGCGAAGCTGTAACCACTGTAGCAGGTGAGCCTTGAATTTTTGAGAATGCAGTATGTAATGAGGCACATACAATAGTATTTCCTTCAATTCTCTAACCTTTTCCTATGGTCATAATTGTTTCAAGCCTCAGTCTTGAATCTGTAACATTTTACATTGTTTTCAAGGATTAAATGGTTTAATATTATTTGATGTCAGAAATGCTTTTCTTTGCAGAAAATTGTTCTAATGAGAAATTTCAATAAATTTAATCTTCACAAATGCATGAATATTAGTCACTTGATAAAGCACAAGAGCATGTTCCCCAGAGCCAAAGAGCTTCTTAATAAGGATAAAAGTCTGACCTGTCTAAATTTAAACCTACTGAATGCAGACATATAGATGGTGTGTCTGCTTCTTGTCTCCATGAATATATTATAATGAAGACAAGTGCAGTGTAATTCTGCTTTGCAAATTAAATTCTAGAAAACAGATTTCCATTTATGCAGGATACACAATTTCATATTTATGTGTGTTTATATATGCATCCATATAAATGGAGGTATTTTCCTAGTCCTAAACATAGCATTATATAAAAAAATTGGAGCTTCAAAAGAACTGAGAT